CTCCATGGTCTGGGGAAGAAGACTCTGCCTCTCACCCCTTTCACTCCCATGGCTCTCCCCCACACACATCCTGTTTCCCTCTGCTGGACCCCGCATCTGTGATGTGGGATAAAACGTATTAAGAAGCAGTTGTCTCCTCTACACAAAGGTTCCACTAATTAGACATCAAGGTCATAGCTCTACCTAAGCTAAACTGCCTATATGGCCAAGGTGGCTGAGGCACACGAGTTCCTGCAGCACACAGTATGCAGGGGACTGATGCAGTTAGCCTTATGTCCAGCCACCTTCGGCTCCCCAGTCCAAATGGCCATGTGTCCATTTACGGCTGAGGGAAGCTTTTCACGTGGGTCTGAAACAAGGTCCAACTCTGGAACTGTGGTGAGATGCCTTAACCATGCTGCTACTGTGCGTAGATATGAGCAATACAAAGACACACAGAAATGTTTGTCTCTTCTTGTAGTACAGAGCAGGCACCTTCTTCGCCCCTTCACCACATACACACTGTACGTATCCTTCTGCCACTAGCTGCCACCCCATCACATCCAGTGTCCTTCTACCTCTCCATTCTTCCTTCGCCATCGAAGGCAGCCCTTCCTCCTGCAGTCCCTCACACTGTTCAAACAACACTGCTCTCCTTGTTTCCAGTTCCCAAATGCTCGTAGCCGCGTGCAGTTAAACTGTCACAGAAAAGAAAAAGTGCCGGTGCTCAGACTCAGACAACCTTCCTAAATGCTCAAAGAGCCAGCGTGACACTTATATTAGAGGTGTGTGTAAATATAGGGACACAGGAGCATCCTTAGTAACCCACAGGTCATCAGCAGGGCTTAAACCTCCCAGCTTCAGCATTACAGCTTCAGCTTCTAGCATCTGAGGTAGAGTCATTCCTTAGGTTACAGCAGTAGTAGGCTGTTATCTTCCATGCAGCCCAGCTGTGAGACATACTTCATATACACGTGATAGATTTTTCTGAAGACAGTGGGACAAATTCTAGTCTTGTTTCCAGTAATGTAAATCTGAACCCTGCTTCCCCAGTGCAAATCCACAATAAGTGAGGGAAGCAATTTACTGAAGTGAAATTGCTCCAAAGGTCAAGACGTTATTCAACACAATCCCATGTATCACTTACATTCCTGAGGCATCCCTTGCAGCCAGCCCATGCATAGTTTCTATATCACTTTATATCAGCCTAGAAACCAATAGAGTTAAAATTGAACAATACCCCAGTGTGGACACAGCTAAACTGTAAATTCACAGAAATGAGCTATAGCCATAAAAGGGCCTTTAAACCAGTATTAGTCATTTTTAGAGCCATGTATGTGCAGACCTGGCAGCTGAATTTCACCCAAAATGTTCATCAAAGAAACTAAGACATAAAAGGATCTGAAACCCTGACATTTTCTGAATCCAGGAAATTTGAGCTTGCCAATATTCTGGTTTGGCATTCACATTTTGGAAATGTCACAGCCACTAAATCATCGATTATTTTCAAAGCAGCAATGGGAAGTTTTATTTCAAAACTTATATCTGCTCCATTTCCACAAAAGTAAAAATAAAAACTGAGGAACCATGAAAATGTATTTCAGCTTCTGGAGTGGCTACATTTTCATTTAAATACATTTAATAAAGGTGACCAGATGCTTTGTGTTTCTAACTGCTTGTTCTGCATCCCAATAAAATGTCCCTGTTTTGGCTGCAGTTGCAGATGATTCATTCTGAAACCCTGCCCAGCTGCCCTGACACAGCCAAGACAGGGCACAGTCAAAGAAACAAGCCATCTGTGCAAAAGAAGTGGGCCAAGGGAGTGCTTTGTCAGGAAAAGGCTCTGCCACTTCTTGGTCACTTGGCTTTTTAGTCATCCAACACACTAAACCTTTCTGGGCTTGATCTATTTTATTTTGCTACCACTCCATGTTATTTATCTTCCTACCTTATCTGCAACCCTTTCCCTTGCTCTGCCTTATAAGCATCCACGTAGGTCAAACACTTCTGTGTAATGTATGGTTTTTATCTCACTTTAATCCTGTGCAATTACATGTCACAAATGCTGACCCTTTCATTCAGGCAGCCAAGCTCCACATTAGAAAAAACCCCCAAGAAACAATTAATTATGCCATCTCCAAATAATTAGCTTTGCCTGGGTCCATAAGAGCAGCACTCCATTGTTTATGCTGCCAAAAGAGACACCCTCTATTCAGGAATAGCCATGCCCTGCACACCCAGGTCTGGAAGAATCCCAAAGCAAAGGTCTATTCTCATGCACCAATCCCCGTAGCCTCAATAAGAGTCACAGGAGCATCTCTGATTGGATTGGACCCAGATGAGCTACTTCATGTCTAGAGAGGGTTCTGGCCCCACTTCTGGGATCCACCGCATGCATCCACATTGCAAACACTCTTGTGTCCTCCCTGCCCCAACACTGGAGTGTGCTGTGAAGCCAGCTCAGCAGGGCAGAAGGGGATCCAGGGCAGGAAGCTAAGGTGACAGATTCTTATCTACCCTCCTTTACGTCCAGAATTTTCTTGCATCTGAAGAAACTATTGCAACCCAATTCATCTGGCATGTACATGAATGACAAATATACTTCAGAGGCAATAAATTAGCAATTTCAAAGCTTTACATCCCCTCATGGACTAATTGCTAGAGATTATAGTATATTATGAGAGAGCAATAATACTAATGCCTAAATATGCTTCAGTGATTATAGAGCTGTCCTCAATAACTAAGCTGTTTAAATGCCAATGCAAGAAGGCTCTTTATTATGAGATTAAATATTATTTTGAAGCAATGCAATAGGAACTTGCGAGGCTTCACCACTGCAGTAATGCTGTCTCAGAGCACTATATATATTGCACAAGCTATATATATATTTTAATAATAGATACAGTAAAAGGGTCCCAAAATATTTTCATGTTGTAAATTTGAATAGTATTCCTGGCAAGAAGGAAGCTCTTGGTATATCTTGATTTTACAGTTGCTATTAGCATGCTGAAGACTTGATTTCTTCCTCTATTTTATACGGGTTTAATGGTGGTATCCCTCCACTGTTTGAGTGGATTGGCTCCTGATTTCTATCAGTGTAAATGCCTGGAGAATCAGGCTCCAAAAATGGTGAACTCTAAGATACTTGACCAAGTCAGGTCCGCAACAACCACCAGTTCTGAGTGGCCACATCTACACAAGACGCTTACTGAGCAGTAGTTCGTTAGTACTGCGCAGTAGCTCATTAATACTGTGCAGTAGCATTGCGGGGCACAAACCGTGACACAACACTACTGTGCAGCAGTAACGAGCTATCGTGCAGTCAGTGTCACTAGGAATTGCGTAGTAACAACTGCACAATCACTGTCTCGTGCAGACACAGCCAAAGAGAGCCAGACACCTAACTGGCGTGCACATACTTGTGAAAGGCTTACCCCACGTCATACACATGCACACACACATATTTCACTGAGAACGTATCTACAAAGCAGACAGAGCGCTCCAGTCTTCAAGGCCAGCTCAGGAGCAGACAGCCGAGGGAGCCAAGAATGGCCCCCTTAACCACGAAGATGACGCCTGAATATCTTCAGACCATACGAGCCCTATAATCCCTCCCCCACCACCACCTTTTCTCCAGCCATCTCCTTTAAAGCCCAGGTAGGGCCTTACATAGCTGCTGGCCACCAGTCTGTCAGGTGTTATACCTGGAATCTCCTTAAGCTTCAACTATAGACATACAGTTAACTTGGTGTTATGTTCCCTGATCCCCAACAAGATCGACGCAAAGGGGTTGTGGCAGGCATGAACAGTCAGCTTTAGGCTCCCTGATATCCCAAAATATTTCTTCATCTCAACCTGATGCATCAGACATTCATATGTCTAGGAATAGAGTTAGTTGCCATCACGCAGTTGTAACAAACATGGGCATAATTAGCATAACCCCCCTGTGAGTCTGAAGGCTTGGCTTTAGTGCTAATTATTGTGAAAAAACTGAAAGCTAGTCCCAGTTGGGACAGGTCCCAATGGAGTAAGAAAGGCAACTTGTGGAATGAATGCAAGGGTGACCGGCTCTCAAGGTTATTCAAACCTCAGGTACAGGAGTCTGTGGAACAGAGTAGCACGGAAGATAATTTTAACACCAATCTTCTCCTTAACAATTACCAAGCTGCAACTGCATGGGGGTGATTTCTACCACGTGCTGCCGTGAGTGAAGGAGGACATGGTTTTTTACATCTGAGCTGGTAGATTTTATTTTGGGCCAGATCCTAGTCCCATTAAAGGCCGTCACAGAACTCCCATTAATTATAGCAACAGCTGGAGCAGGTTGTTTGTGTTCGGTATTTACAGCCCAGGTTCAGCCAGGCACTGGAGCCTGGAGTTGAGTCTTGCTCTGGCTTCTGTCTCTCTTTTTGCCTGTCACTTTGTCTGATTCCTTCTCCTTCAATCTTCCCTTCCGCAAGATGCGGAGAACCACACTTGTTTACCCCACCAGGGTGTTACGAGGCTAAAATGATGAAAGCGTTTAAAGTACTTTCTGATCCTCAGATGAAAGACACTGGGATACATATTCAAAAGGGGTATATACTTGATTATTATTCATACAGTTATTTAAATTCTTCATCTATTAAAAATAACCTATCACATTGTAACTAAGGAAGAATTTGCCGAATGGCCAATGTACAGTTCTTTTGCTGCTCGCTAACAGACCACAGGCTGTTTGTCTTTTTTGTTACATCTTGCTTCAAAATGCAAGCACTGTGGGGCAGGGGCCCATGCCTTTGTCCTTAACTAAAACCAACAATAATAACAATCAAATGACTAGCCCTAATGTTCAATAAATGACAACAGAAGAGAAATAGGCATTGTTCACAGGAGAATTGTGCTGACGTACCCAAGAACTGGGGAAAATAATATACCTACTGTCATCTTTGTGCATAAAATATTTGCAGAGAGATTAAACTCTTCTATAATTTTTGTTTGCAGGCACCTTGTGTTTACACCTGGTGATTTCCAGCTCTTACCATATATCCTGGAGCACAGGTGCATTTGCCTGTAATGCTATCACAATCTGCACCGTTCTGGCAGAGGCAGGTCAGCTGGCAGTCTTCACCATAGTATCCAGGAGGACAGGTTTCATTGCAGTACAGTCCTGCCCAGCCAGCTTTGCAGCTACATTCGCCAGACAATGGATGGCAGCTAATGAAGAAAGACAGAAATTAATGAGAGGTACACGTGAAAAAAAGTTCCTTCGTGTAAAAAGCAGGGATATCTTAGTAGCAAGCTCTGAGTAAACCATCTGCAGGAGTTGTGTTATAACCTCAAGAAGGCTGAAAAGGACCAAGAGCAGTGAATAAAAGCCACAGGATATACAGAGGAAGGTGACACTTAATGTCGACTGGTGGTGTTATGCAGAGGAATTCAGAAGCCAGCGATTTTACATACCATGGGGCTTGCAATACAAGTAATATCATGAATATGAATTGGAACAGGACTGGAGCTCAATATATCCCACAGTATTTCAGCAAGCCGTGGTCAGTTAAGAATGGGAAGGACTGGGAGCAATTTGAAGGTAACAAGACTACAGGGGGTGAAGAGAGCAAGTCATGTTCCTGTGCAGTGATCAGGAAGGAAGGGAGATCTCTAAATGCCCTGATGCGAAGAGGAATGACTAGAAAGGGCAGAACCTTGCAGCAAGGCCAGCTGGGGAGGAAAGTATTTGGGACAAACTTTTCAGCAAAGACTTCACAGGATCCTCAGCCATGTCACCTGGCGCTTGGCAGAGCAAAGGTCCTGAAGGGGTGTAGGGCTGGAGTGCATGGCAATCCTGTGCAGAGCCATGACATGGGCCCTCTGAGCTTGGGGGATATAACACTTCAAAACACTTTGAGGGGTTTAAAAAGGAAACTGTGGGGAGCACTGAGCAGCGCATGTTTCCACAGAGCACCCGAGTCTCACGCTCATGACAGAGCCTTTGCACTAACCTGGTAATACAAAGGGGCTGAAGTCTAGATGAGAATCGGGCCTTAAAGGGAATCAGGTGGCCAAAGTACACGTATCCTTCACTACTTTGCCCCTGCCACCATGCAGAAGCCAGGGGCGTACCCTTGTACTTCTCGCCTACTGGTTCTCTTTAGATCCTCTTAGAGCATCAGCCAGCAAGCACGGGTTGCCCCTGGGGCTGTACAGTGTACACCACTGGCAGTGCACACTCCAGAAGGTGGGACCATACTATGAGTCCCCCTCCTGGTTCCCACCGTCAAAAGCTCTGCTTATCATTTCTTTATAGTTATTTGTTAGCCTGTCTCTGTTTGTGGATTTGATTGAATGAGATTCCTTAAACCTGTAAAATTAATATCCTGGATGTTAATTTTCAAGGTAACCTCATAAAGCAGGGTCCTGAGAATTTTTTATGCAGTCATCAGTAGAAAAGATTAGTCACATATTGTTGTGACTAAGAATTATCAAATGTTGCCACTGTCATGTGTTTCATCATAAATAGTGCTTTACTGACTAATTAAAACAATTCATCAGGATAACAAACCGCTGTCCATGAAATTCTTCTGACAAAGCATTCCCTGAAATTATGGTTGTTCACACAGCACCTCTTAACATTTAGATGAAAATAATAAAATCTTATTTTTTCTCCCCTTGCATCTATTAATCATTACCTAATGAGACCAGAGAGCTAAACATTAAAGACACATTTTTTGGAGTGGATTTTTGGTTTCACTGTTTTTGTTCCTACTGCACATATTATAAGGTTTCACGAGTGCGGCATCTGTTGGCTAAATTAAATCTTTCAAAAGTAATATATGATCGCGGCAGCTGGAATCAGTCTATGACAATTCAATTGAAAATACCATACTCAGTAAGCATTTCTATGTCGAGGTTGGCTCTTTTATCAAAAAGGACAGCTTTTTTGCATAGGATGCAGGCTATTTATTAAGGACAATAACATCCCAAAAGGTAAGCTGCCCTTTTCCAGGACCTGTAAGAGAGTCAAGGGAACAAAATCCAGCCCCGAAGACTATGAGCAGGGGGTGGGGCAGCCCTGTTTATGCTCTCTGACTCCTCCATTACTAACCTAGACGAGGGGCCATGACCTTGGCTGTGCCCTGCACAGAGGTTTATGGCTCCTGGCTTCACATTATCTTCCCAGTGAAGCAAAAATGTCCGCCCCTCAACTGCCAAAGTCCAAGTATATCAGAGCAGATTATTTTTTCCTCAGGCCAGGAACATGTACTGCTAAAGATGCTTCTAACGGTCTCGCTCTCATGTTCTATCAAAGAGAACCACTAACACAAAACTGGGAAAAACACTCTAAATAAAATCTCAGGGTTTACAGTATTCATCTTTCGTTCTGCGGCAGCAAGAACAGTAGGTGAATGTCCTACAGGGAATACCGTGCACTGAGCTAGAGCATTAATGTTTGATACCCCTGTTGCACTGGTGCACGCCTTCAATTTGTGGATGAGTTGGAGATTTAGATAGGCCCTGCACTGAAAGTCAAAGAACCAGAGGTCTCTTTCTGATTCTGTCTGACTTATTACATAACTTTGGCCAACTCACTTATCCCCTGTGTATTTCCATTTCTTCTTCAGTAAATGGAGATAATGATGCCTGCCCTTCTTTCATTGAGATATATAGTTAATAGCACCATAAAATATGAGGATGTTTATCATTATCACATTCATATTACTATTGAGGCACTAGAGCCTGTGATCTATCCCCAGGGAGTCTAAGGTCAATGGAGTTGCATTTAAATCAAGTACTTGTTGCACGTGTGGTGTCAGGGTATGTTAGGAATCTCCTTTTGTCCTTCCCTTCTTTTTTTGCATTCTGTAAGATTCCAATAAATTTCCAGGCTACAGACATTTACACATATGTAATTTAATTTACCACATATAGCAGTAGTTCATAGATTCAGAGATTGTAAGGCCGGAAGGGACCTCAGAAGTTTCATAGATGCTAGGGTCGCAAGGGACCTCAACAGATCATCGAGTTTGACCCCCTGCCTAGGCAGGAAAGAGGTGACCCCAGCCAGATGCCTATCCAGCCTTCTCTTGAAGACCCCTGAAGTAGGGGAGAGCACCACCTCCCTTGGGAGCCCATTCCAAATTTTGGCCATCCTTACCGTGAAGAAGTGTTTCCTGATATCTAGCCTAAATCTGCTCTCTGTCAGTTAGTGACCATTGTTCCTTGTTACCCCAAGAGGCACCCTGGCGAACAGAGTATCTCCAATCCCTTGCTGTGTCCCCCTAATGAATTTGTAGGCGGCCACAAGATCACCTCTAAGCCTTCTCTTGTGGAGGCTGAAGAGATCCAGGTCCCTCCGTCTCTCCTCATAAGGCTTGTCCTGTAAGCCCCTAATGGCCTAACCATATGAGTGGCCTCCTCTGGACCCCCTCAAGTCTATCAAAACTGGATGCGATACTCCAACTGCGGTCTGACCAATGCCGCATAAAGAGGAAGCATCACCTCCTTGGATCTATTCATCATGCATCTGCTGATGCACGATAAAGCGCGGTTAGCTTTGCTGATGATTTCGTCACACTGACAACTCATGTTCTTCTTGGAGTCCACTACGACTCTGAGATCCCTTTCCACTTCTGTGCTGCTGAGGGGGTCACTTCCCAGCCAGTAGACATACTGGATATTTTTGCGCCCTAGATGCAGCACTCTGCACTTGTCCTCGATGTACTGCATCCTATTGCGTACTGCCCACTTTTCTAACCTGTCCAGGTCTGCCTGCAATTGCTCTCTACCCTCCGGTGTGTGCACTTCACCCCACAATTTAGTATCATCCGCAAACGTGGACAGAGTACACTTCACACCCACATCCAAGTCGCTGATGAAGATATTGAAGAGTACAGGTCCAAGGACCGAACCCTGCGGGACCCCACTGCCCACACCCTTCCAGGTCAATACCGACCCGTCTCCTACCACTCTCTGGGTGTGACCGCTAAGCCAATTTGCCACCCACCGGACCGTGTAACCATCTATGTCACAGCCTCTTAATTTATTTATGAGAATGGGGTGAGATACTGTATTGAAGGCCTTGCTAAAATCCAAGATCATTGGGTCCAGCCCCCTGCACCAAGCAGTTCAAGTTGATACAACTTTAGACTCTTTAGTTTCAATTTTAAACGTTTTAGTTTCAAAGTAATGAATAATAAACTCCACTCACAGTCAGAGTGATGGGCACAGTTCCCCCTTCTCAGTTTGAATGTATCCTTTAAGATTACCAATTCACATGACCCTGCCAGACTTGGGGGATTACATGCAAGGAATTTATCTCTGCCAGCCACCAAGTAGAAATGAAGAAACCATTCCTATGTACAAATGCCCCTCCTGGATTGGTAAGAGATTGTGAGACCTTTGAACAAGCCACAGAAGGCAAACTTACTAACATCTGCTTTTCAGACTCCTACTGTTACTGAAAAAGCAACACTTTATGCTCTTACATTATTTTTGGTGCTGCTTAGTATTCTAAGCTGAGTTGTTTCAAATGTTATTACTTAACATGGTCCCGCACATTTAGAAAGAGATGTGGAAAAGAAAGAATGGGCCAAAAGGCATTCTGGAGCCAGGGCCAAGGAGCCACGTGGGGAGAAAGGATGATGTAAACTGCAAGTTGTCTCCCATACACAACCACGGCGTGGTATCAATGCTGATCGGTGCCTGTTACTGTCATTCTGGGAGTCTTCTGTGCTCCAGCGCCCATATTTCACCCATCAACATTTTAGAGTGGTCACTCCCAAACTTCTGAGGCCCTTTGAAAAATGCCATCTCTCAGTTTTCACTTGTTTTTTGACTACAGAAAAACACGAGAGCGATTCTTCAGTTGCAAACAACTTGGAAAGCCCACAACAGGGAAGAATGTTTTGGGGACTCTGGATCCTGTTTGAAATCTCTGGGTTTATCTTGTGAGTCCTGTTTGCACACCTACCACTGCTAAGATTGTGTGACACCCCTAATGCCCTTGAAAGGATTGTAGGGCACCCCAGAGTGCCAGAGCAGCCTGATTCAGAATCACTGCTTTAGGGGGTTGTGAATAAAGGATTGTATTGACAAACTGAACAAGGAAATGAGGTGGGTGGATCTGAAACAGAATTTCTCTGTGGGTTTTTTTTCAGGGAAAACAAAAAAAAAATCATTGCAGCTTGACTCCAAATGAATTTTTAAATTTGTTTTTT